AAACTCTCTTATCGCGACTTAAATCATTCAAAATTTAATGACATCAAGGAACAATGGTACAAATTAAGTGACAAATCGACATTGACAATTATGAGTCGCATTAAGAGATCATCATAAGGTTGCCCGCAGAGCATTTTGCATTGTCATCAACTCTGTTTTCAGGAAACACAATACATGAGTGTGATATACAAACGCAACGAGGAAGGCTAATTACCGCCATCTTGTTTTCGATACGTTCAATTACAGCTGTGGCCAGGTAGTCGTCGCTTGTTTTTCTAATCCTGCGCGCAATTTCACGCAGACATCGCAAAGTCATCGTACGAAGCGATTCCGCTGCGGAATTAATTAAGGGATTATCGTGCCGGCTCGTGCTGGTGAATGGTTACATACATATTTAATAAAGATACAGGGTGTGTTCGTTCTATCTAGCCGAGTCGAGCGCGAAATTAAACATTCATGAGCGCTCAAGATACTTGCATGATGCCGAGGAACGAAGCGTCTCGGAGAACCGCTCAGAACCGAAATTATTTCGGTACAGGCAATTTTACGATCAAGTCTATAGAAACCATTGGTTTACTTTAATATCTACCAGAACGAGAAAGTATTGAAATATTCTATACTTTTAATATTGTTTACCACATTATTAAATTCTTATTAACGATCAATGCTAACTATAACAGACAATGTACGTGTATACTATAGACTGAAGTTTGAAATCAGTAAAATTGCAGTTGCATTTATGGTTACTTATTATTCTTCTATAATTACAGAACAAAATTGAAATGTTTAATTATGAAGCAATACCTTGAAATTTTTCTAATTCTCAAAGTTGATAGGATAATACATTAAATTCTGTTTTGCTGGCAACTGTACGAATGGTTAACATTTTAACTTTCATCTTCTGTTTATAAAATGGGCAAGCCCGTACATTTTTTATGGAAGTATGTCAAAACTACATTAACGAAGACTTGTGACTCACAAGAGTTAAAATTGTGTAGTAATAAAGATAAATGCAAAAAATTCTTCAATCAATAAGCCTCGATCTCCTTTTTAATTTTAAGTGTAGTACTGTTCACGAAGTCCTGGTTACGAAACATGTCTTTGTTCAATTTCGCTTCTGCAGCACACTGATACAGTTTGGAAGGAAAGACCAAGGCCACCCAGTATACATACGGAATAAGTATGAAAAATAAAATTTATGAAATGACCGGATATTTCGAAGGAGCAAGTTTTTGTAGATTTCATAAATTACAGTAGCACTTCTTACAACGTGAAGATATGTTCCGTGTTATACACACTAAAGAAGAGCACTAAAAGTTAATATCAATCATTATTCTGTTTAATATGACAGGAAATAAAATGTAATTTATTTTATAATAACATAAACGTACAATTTAACGTAAAATTTCAAACAAGATTTATCTTTATTGTTTTATTTTCATTTTCTAAAGACTATTTGTTTCGTCTAATAGAATATTGTAATTACGAAGATTGCTGATGACACAAACGTTAGCCGCGAACCTGTTAACGCTAGAACCACTGAGCAATTAATATGATTAACATGCAGTCCACATAAAAATTGTAACAACAGATTTTCATGGTTTCTTTATATATTTTTATACTATACAACTGAAACTATTTATTTATAGAATCATTTCTGATATTGAACCCTTTAGAAATATCAATAATCGCGAAATAATAAAACTGAGACCCGCCATTTTAACGGATGCGGTAGTTCCAATGTTGAATTTGCGAAGCAGGAATACCGCGTTACACGGGGCCCTACTGTGCATCGTTAACGTACGTCTGCAGCGGGTCCATTCTGAACGAAGTCGAATGAAATACGTCGATCGCCGATACAGAATCCAATCGAGGGATCGAAGAAGCGGATGCCGGAGTAAAACACGCGCCGCTGAACAGTATAAGCCGAGCAGACCGTTATACCGTTTGTAACACACAAAGCATCGGTATTATTTTCTAATGCGCGCGGTTCGCAGGTCCCAATTTCTGCGGATTAAGCGCGTCGGTCGCGTGAAAATCGGTTTCATTCACTGTTCCTGCCCCGTTTTCGCGGTACGATATAATTAATGGAATCAGAAGCGGCCGGGTCGATTGATTTAAATTCAATAAGAGTGAGCAAGCAATTAGTTCACGATGGCAGGATTACGCTTACAGCCGGTTGATTGACATATTAGAACATTAGGCGAAACGGTTCACAGATGTGTGTAAATACTCGAGCCTTCATTAGTCATTCAACCTCACTTTTTATATTAGAAGGACCGAATAGAAATCCACTAAATTTAATCTTAACGGAAAGCTTCGTTATTTCAAGTAAATTTTTAAACATTAATCCCATTGTATAACTTTTTTCTTCTTTCAGAACAATTTCTTATCTAGTGAACCATTTTTCCAAGGTACTTTTTAAAAAATCTACAGGTTAAACTTAAGCATAAAGAATAATGGATTCTTTTCACGAGATCTTTCAGAGAAGCACGGAAATAGGAAGTCAAGAATATTGAAATAAAGTTTTTCGAATTAGTGAGTGGTGTGTGAAATGTGTGAACAGATTTGTAAAACATTTAACGTGTGTCACAATATCTTCTTTGTGTATTTTGTCTGTTTATAAGTAATTTTATCAAGGTTTTATCGAGGCTGCATTAATATTTCATCACTTTTTTCATTCACGCTTGACGCTTTAACGTGTTCGCTTGGAAGAAAATTTTCGGTCATCATTAAATATATCGCACTGCTTAATGTCAAACTGGATTTAATCGATTGTATATTAATAATTCAACAACTTCTTTCGTCTTCATTTTTTCTCATCTCAGTTCTTTAAATTATTGTGTACAGGTTTAGTCATTTATGGGATTGTTGCTTCTCACTTATCAACGAACGATCGTTCAATTAGTTTTCTAAAATACTTCGACACGCTTTTGTAACTTGTGTTTGAAGCTTTTATTTATTTACGAGATTAAACCCTGATCCTAAACATTGTTGCTACAGACTCATTGTCTTCCTACTTATTTTCCGCATCATTTAGGTCACAAGACTTTACGCGACGTATTGTAACGTCGCGCACACCGTTACGCTGCTTTACAACACCTCCGGCATCACGGTTTTTAATGGATTCATGCCCATTAACGTTAATTCCATTGAACCCGGGTAACGCACGATTCAAAATTAGTTCCATTCACTAATCCTCCATCGCATTCTACTCGCACTAATTCAACTTAATACTGAGCGATATGTATACTTCTTCTAAACTCGAGCAAAATAAAAACAAACGATTTCATGAGCTCAGTCTTGTTACAGTGCGTTTAGTTTCTCGTTAAAACACAAAGTCCCAGAGAATTAATAATTGATAACCGTTGAAACGTTTTATTAACTGTACCGTTCGCCAATGGAGTCCAAAAGTTATTTAGTAAAATTAATTTAGAAATTGAAGAGAAATAATATAGCAAGAAATATTATACCAAAACATTATAAAAAAGATGTGAAATATACGTTTGGCTGCTTTGACGTATTTTATTATATAATATGGATTATATAAATCTGTACAATAAGATACAGCGTTCGTATCGAAATAAACATTGATTATAAAATATTTAAATCTGCTCTATGAAGCAGAACAATAATATTCAAAAGCTAATGACATTTTCGCAGGCATTCCGCAGAAATCCACGTCGAGGAAATATTCAAAGCGAAGCACGCAGCCGGCTTGCAGGCCGGCGACGACGGTGGCTGTGTTAAACACTTTCTAATTCGTCGCGACGAGAAGGGAAGAAAGACTTGTCGCGGAACACGTTGTGCAATCCGCGATGCAGGAAGAGTGCAGGAAACTCGGTTTTGGCCGGATCGATTCAGACCACATTGGAAGAAACGGTTTTCAATCTTTTCTTTTTCATTTCGTGCCGGTTTAATTGTGAGAGGTACGAAGCGGTTTCGTGGATAATTCCTCCGGTAACAGCTGTTCTTCCGCGTCGCTGGTGAGATAACGCCGTTGGTTCCCATTAATAGGACATCCACTTTTAAAGCGACTCGTGTAGCTCTCACCGGAGGAATTGTCCGGTGTGAGCAACTGTTTTCCTGTTGCAATTAAGATGCACGATGTTAACGCGGCGAGACAGCCGCTAACAAACGCACTGCGTGTACACCGACACTCGACCTTAACTTTATCGCGATTAGGGAAATGAGATTTGGTTCAACCGACACGAACCTCTCTCGAACGGATTCAGAAATCGATACGATTCATCGCAAACCTGTTTTTTAGTGATTTTTCAACTTTCCCAATATTCGATGTAATGTAACAAAAATTACAGTTCCCTATTGAAGTCTTATTTAACTTGCTAAGCGGGTAATTTCTTCATGGTGAACACTCGTGTATGCAAACGTGAACGGTATGATGAAATTTCACACGTTCGTTGCTGCCACTTGTTTCCTGTTTTTTAACCACCGAATGTATGAAGAATGTAGAACCGACTTCTTGAGTAAGATAAGCTTGTGCAATATAAATTTAACTTTGTAACCTTAAAATTAATTTGGTTAACAGCATAATAAGACAGGAAATATTTTATTCCATTGTAAATATTATAACACGGATTATTTCAAAAGTATTCAGTAATTCATAAATTAAGTAAATTAAAAAATATCCTTTAGAAACACGTCTATGGTCCAAAGTGATACGCCTCGCACAAGCAGGGGTACATTTCCAATGACTCATTGTTGTAATAAACTTCACACAATTCACCAAGGCCACTATCCCGTCACTAAACACTGCGACTCGAAGTCAATCCAACCGTTGAAACATTTACGGAGCCCGAAATCCCGGATGTCACGGATCTCGAGATCTCCAATCGTGAAGAAATTACGATTACAAATATCAATTAACTACTATCCACTCCATACGAACCCGTAAGAGGTTCCAACATATGAACAAAAATCCGCCATATGTCTCGAAAAAGCGAAATAGACTGCCGGAAGTGCGTTAGACGAAAACTCACCCTCTGAGAGCGATCCTTGCGCCGCGGCGATCAGCAGAGCCGCGAGGAGCAGCAGTTTCGTGAACCAGAGCCTCCACATGTCTTCACCCATCTGTTCCCTGGTCGCACGGAGCTGCGCCGCGATATTACCAGGGTACGTGCACTCTCATGTAAAGCGGCCCGGACGGATGCGTAGCCCGTTACATGAGTACCCAAAAAACGTGAAGGCGAACCGTGAACTCGTGTCTGCACACCTTTGGAACCACCTTGCCCGAACGTAGAGAACCCGACGCGTCCCCGATTGTCGGTCCTCTGTCGATCTTGGATCCTGAACCGACGACTGCGAAACGAGCGCTAAAGGGAATATGGTTGCGAACTTCGTGAACCGATATCGACGGGGTGGTCGAATGAAAGATGGAAAAAAAGGGAAAAGGTGACACGGACGAAGAAAAGTGAGCGAACTGGAACGTTTCGGTGGGGCGTGGGTCGCGGCGCGGAAACAATGAAGAATTTTCCACCTGGTCACCAGACGGAGCGGTTAACGAGAACTCCGGTACTCGACAAGCGGAGCAGCCGACCGATTGACCTTTCTCCGGGTGCGTAACTTTGTCTGTGTCCCGGTGAGGACTGAAGGGGAATCAAGGCCCGCCGCCGGGTGTTGGGAACCGGAGAAAGGTGTATCGAGAGAGAGGCCAGAGGCGAGCCGGTAAGGCCCCTCTTCTGTCGCTCTTTTCCCCTCCCACTTCGCCCGGGACTGTCTTTCCTCCTCTTTTCACCATGCCCCCCTCCCACCCTCGTTTTCTCACTTAGTCCTGTCTCCCGCTTCTTCCTTCTCGCGATAAAGCGGGACCGTTTGCCTGGCGCGCCGCTCTTTCCAGGGGAGGCTGTTTTATTGTCATTGTAATTGCACGCGGTGTTCGCGCGAAATTATTGCGGACAATGCGGCCTTGGCTACCATTGCGTCTTATTCCTTTTTCGACGCGGGGGTGAGACGCTAGACGAGACACTGCGATTGGAGAATGCTGATTTTAGGGGTGGAAACGCGTAGCTTCCAATAACACGACATTCCTGCGACGCGGTTTGAACTTGCTACCGGAATTTGGAGAGCATCCGGTTTACTACGGTTTTTCTAAGGAATGCTACAGAAGGAGGAAACTTTGCAAACGCGTTGCCACGTATAAGAGATATAATTAAAATCTCTTGAGAAAAAGTGAATAAATAAAAATAACTGAAGTTAATTGAAACGTCGAGGTTTTTAAAAGTGTAAACGGGAAAACTGAAGTTCAAGGATATAGTTCAAATCGGAATCATCTATTTACTTATGTCTTGAACTTCACATTTCAAACCTACCACGATATGTTACATAGTCAATTAAATTTAATTGGTGACCCTCATAGTAATGTCCACGAAGAAAAAGGTAAACAGGCGCAAGTTGATCTTTGACACCTTGTTTGGAATGATTTGAGGTACTCTCAAGAAGCGTTTCGAACCAAACATAGAGACTTCCTTTATTATTAAACGATGAAGTAGCACTGCGTTGCATGATATTCAATGAAATATTCATGTGCAAAGCTATTTTATGAAATACAACGGTACACGATTGAAGCCACTCCGTTTGCATCCCTTTTCACCTCGTTCTTGAGTCACTTATCATTCCTGTAATGGCATTCTCCAACTGTATCGCATGCCCATCCGTTACATCGGCATCAGCCGCAAAACGCAGCTGTTACATTTACGTTAATTTTCCTGTCAAGCTATCCGTTTCTTAATTGTCGGATACACCACTCCTTTCAATCTCTCATCTACGAGTCAATAAACTGTAAACTTGAACTAGAGAAGTCATTATACACTTGAATCGCACCAGTTAAGTCTAAAATTAGTTGTTAAGTCTAACTTACCGACAGAAACATCTGATTAAAATCGACAATCGTTTTGGAAGAAAAATCGTTCGAGATACTGTTAAAAGAATGAAATGTTAAGCGTTAATTATATTTAAACTAGTGTTCATTCAAATCTCATAAAAACGATATTCATTCAAATCTCATAAAACGATTGAAAATCGCGTTTGATAACAGCGATTTTATTTAACTAATTTCTTTATGTGTAATACATTCTGTTAAAATTTGGTTCATCGAATGCATTATCACAAAATTTCAGTTTTGAGCCTGAACTAAGAATCTTGTTACCCATTCACGACTGAGGTTTATGGTAGTTAACGTTTTAACTGGCGATGCCTATCGATAGGGTAGTAAATCAATTTTAATCACGAGCCTGTAAATAGAAATGTCTACCAAATTCAGTAGAAAGTTCCAAACGAAAGAATTTATTTACCGAATAAATGAAGTGACAGCGGAGACCTTACACTCTCTATTCTCCAAGTATCTGCTAAAAATTACTTTCCAAACTAACGGATCCCGCGCAAATTTAGATTTACTTTTCCTCGAGGTGAAACGAAATTTATACAAAGTCGCCACTTCGGAATGATGACAGACTAAGCGTCTCTTCTCAAATTATTTTTAAACCTAACGAAAACACTGCTCCTAGAAATTCCTCAAATTTCTTCAATTAAAAATTTAAGATTGCTTATACGTCGAAATTTATAAAACAGAAACTATGCAGATGAAAATGTGCGTTAGATGATTATTTCGTTTAATGTCAATTTATTTTCAACAATCATTAATTATTCAATCATGTGCTTTTTCCTTTACATTATTATCTTGTCACTCATGCTAGTAAAAACTATTTATTCTGTAATATCAATCTCATTATAATATTTTCTGTTAATGGCAGTGACCGGTGATCCTCTACAACAGTAAAAGTGTTAAAAATCATTTGCCAATCGTAATATTGATAAAATGTTCAGTAAAATTGCCTGTATACTTCGTGGCGTTCTTAGAAGCATTACGTGCATATAGCATCGGCGAGTTGCCAAACCGAATCCGGTCGAACGTCTCCAAACATGGTGGTCCACCTGTTGCACTGAATGAACTCGGCCACGAGACAGGGGGGCACGGTTGTTGGAGGAACCTGTACGATAGTGGCACGACTCGCAAGGTGGGAGGTTCGCATTATAGGTGGCGACCCGAGGACCTACATTCACGAACGAAGTCTTCTCTCCGCGGCCTCTGCCTCGGAGGAGCCCTCGTCTCCTAAAGTATTCGTGTCGATGTCGGTTGACTCGCTTAGCAAGTGATTCTCGAATTCCGTCGTCGAGATTCCACCGGAGAAATTACTCTCCCCTCCCCTGCCCTGTTCTTCCATCGCCTCTTTTTACATCCCAAACGAACAGACGCTTCACGCTTCTGGACCGCAGAATCGAACCAAGTGTTGCGGTGAAAATAGCTCGACAACGCACTGCTCTTAATATTTCTTTGGTCTATTTGTCTGAAATTGTCTCGGCTTGGCACCATTGATAATCGAAAGTTCTTCAACAGAACAAATGATGGGAATGTTCGTTGAGAAACAAGACACAAGAATGTTACTATACGCTACGGTTTAGAGAATTTTTTAATATTCAACGCGGATTAAGAATCTGGACTACCCGGAACAAGTAATAATATTTCTATAGATCAACAAATACAGAAGTTTAAAGATCACACTGAGGTTTTGAAATTTCGTACTATAATCTTAACGCTTGTGGAATAGCAAATGTTTAAACGATTCCAACGACCCGTAATGCATAGCTATTTGACATTACATAAAGGTGTAAAACAACTGTTCGTCTTCCGTAAGAGATACTCAAAATGACGTGTCAGTCTGCATCGACGTAAAACTATGCGCACTGGGGTCTTCTTGTAACGTAAGAACTGCTGCTTTCCTTTATCTATTCAGTCCATACAATTAGTTTCTTTCACGTCAAAGTCAGTACGTTGACGTAACGCTTAACCTCTTCCGAACACCGGACATTGCGATGCATTATTATTTAATAATGCATTTATTCATCAAACGATCTGAATGGTATTAAAGAAAAAAACGTGTAGCCGCGGCACGTGGAAACATTAGTCCGACAAACGGCGCCTTAACGTTGCTTCATCAGCATCATTCTTCCGCGTAACGGAAGAACTTTCCGAAGAGCACACAGAAAATCCGGGTGGCAAACTTGAAAAGGCTGCGGCAGAGACTTTCTAAATCGTCGGCACGGATCTGTCTAACGACGAGGCGGATTAGCGTCACGTATAATTGAGCCGGCAGCACGCAAGGACGTCGAGAGCTCGTAAAGCTCAAGCGAGCGTAAAAATGGCGGCGCAGTTCGCGAGTCAGATGGCATCTGTGGCTACCGTCAAGAATTGAGACACGATTACATTATCTCCACCGTTACCTCTTTGCCATGCATCATCGACTACATCGATCGGTATTACGATTATTCGTGCAAGACGCCTGCCGTTACTATCCTACAGATGTCAAACTTGCGTAAACTCGATTACAATTATGTGTAACCGTTCTTTCGTTTCGCAAAAACGGCCACGAGAATTTTCCCTCTTTTGTTTTCCTTGTTTTACAAAGTAGTATGTACGTAAGTACCCATGAGACTTTCAACGATGAAAGATATTTTACTGTTTTTGGCAGTAATCTACTTTTAGAAAGAGTAAATATCAGTTACTATTTATCAATTCTTTTGTAGACTGACTGTGGTTTTCAATGAATGCATGAACTATAGTTCAAAAGTTTGAAATTATATTTAATATTTATGATTTGTAAGATGAAATAGAATAAAAAATAACGAATTTCGATATTTTTAATGCATAGTCTGTCATTTAAGCCTAGAGGATACTTTTGACTCTACGATCGGTATAAATCATTCGGTAGAGAACGATTTGAATATTGTGCATAACTGTTTTGATGTACAGTTAAATCAATCTTAAGGGAATAAACATAGATCCTCTAGTTCAATGGTGATTAACCTCGACGTTCTGCAAGGTAGGAAACAGAAATGGCGGTGAACAGATTTTATGCTATTCATTTTGAGATTCTTTGAAAACTGAATAAAATCGCGAAAGACAATGATTTTCTTTTAACTTAGATATTTTGCAAACATACAAACGTGCAGTTTGTTTTACAAAGGAATTTTGGGAGAAAAAGTTTGAAGTGTTTAACAATAATTTTATACAAAATTATAGGAATACCACAGACATTTCAATCTTTTATGTAGAATTTAAAAATCTGGTGAATATTACCACTCTCACGAGTTACGTAGCTGCAAGTACACTTTGAAACTGTGTCAAAATGTTAAGTTTAATGATAGAGATGAGACCAAAAAGGAAGGAAGAGTAATAACTTCATTCTTGCACAGTGATGCACGCCGCGGCAATTATCTAATACATAGGGTAGCATAATTCTCTGCCGAGTGGCAAGTAAATGATCTTCTAGAAGCGTCTGCGTAATTATCGAATGATTAATCACATACGAATGACCTATGCTGCACAAAAACTTGCCCGTTTAAAAAGCTTTGTCGTTTCTTTATCATTAATCGCAAAAAGTTTTTCCCTGTGTTTTGATTGAATTTAGATCGTTGGCGTTCATTAGGTTTCCGTGTCGATCTTGTCCGGTTTTCCACTTCTTAATTTGTAATGAGACAAGAATTGTGTACTGGCTTCGTGACTGCTATACTAAGTTTGGTACGCGACAATTGAGAAACGAGTGAACCGCAATAGGCATGGAAAGTGTAATTAACTTACGAACAAATCTGGAAGGTGCATCGAAGTAATTAGCCGCTGCTTGTACCAAATTTGGTATCGATTTGTTGACATTGTGTTCTATGAAGTATTTCGTTCCTTCTTGCATATACTTCGAAATAGAAGAGAAGTTATCGACTTATTATAAAGAATTTGTGTGCCGATAATTTAGCAAAGCAAAAGCCTCGCTAACTTTCACTCTTATCCACGTGATCACCATTCCCCTCTCCAGCAGATCCATAGTCCTCCAGAGAAATTCCTTGCAGAGACAACTGCGTACAAAACATGAACCAAGTATTTAATTCACTTCAATCATTTTTTAATATGATGATTAAAAAAACTTTTATTAAAAACGGTCTACTCATTGAAAACTGGTTTTTTTCCAAAGAATTAAAATTATGCGATATATTAGCAACTTCGATTTGTTAAAGAAAGACTTAAAATTTCAGAGAATTGTTGTTTCTTAAATAAAAATTATAGAAACAACTTTTTTAAGTAAAATAATTGCTACACATTGCTACCACATTCGAGTCGTATGTTTCACATAAATAAAAATGTTTAGTTTCGATAGTTTCCCTGCTTCCTGTGAAACGTCTACAATGTGGGATTCATGAGTTTAATTATTTCCGGAGATTACATAATTAAAAAAACAATAAGAAAAAGTAAACAAAGTAAGCAGAATTAAGGAAATACGCTAAAGGAGTTTTGAGGAACTATGAACTACCAACTGCTCATTCACATGTTCCAGTTTCGTGCGATATTTCGCAATCGAACTTTTTTCTGTGGCGTTTCCCTCCCTCGTGATACCTTTGTTCGCTGCTGGAGACAGCAATTAACGCAATCCACCTAATTACGCAAGCGAAAGTGAGCAAATTCACTTTCGTATTCCTCAAAAATTACTAACTTTGAAATGAGAATATAGAGCAAGGTAGTAGGACTATAGGAAAATAAAATACAAGGTAAACCTTATGAAAATATATACGTAAACTTTATTCTATTTCCGTGGGACATTCTGGTGTTTAGTTTTTGTCAATTAAGAAAATTAATTTTTTTACGGAAGTATTCTTTTCCATGTTTTCAGAAATAAGTTTTGCAGAAGAAACCTCTTAGTCATCAGAAGCATTTCCTTGTGCATTATTTTTATCTATGTTCTGTTGTTTCCTTGCCTTTTGTAATATATCATTTAAATGCTTTTTACCGAATCTCCTAAATTTAAAATTAGTCAAATATTTTAATTCACCATTCCACTTTCTTAACATATCGCACTGAGTTGTATTTAAAATATCAGGAATCTCTGGAATAAGAAAACAGTTCTACACATTTTCAATTTACAAATTTTCATAAATTTTTACCTATTCCACATGTGTTATATTCCTCTTGTTCTCGTTCTTTAGTCATTCTTAACACATCCTGTCTACTTGCATGTTGTCTATTTTTTCTTCCACCTATAGAATGCTTTATATTAATTTGTTCTAATTCTTCATCATTCCTCGCTATGTACCTATGAACCAGTCACACATTCATAAATATTTAGGTTTTAGATACTTAGCCTTTATTTACTTACGTTTCTAGTAATGTGGCAGTTAATTCTGGAGTATAAGGACAAACATCAGGTACCATATGTTCCTGAATCCATAGCATTTTCTCCCCTAGTAGATTTTGTTTTATCAAACCTCCTAATTTTGTTTTTTGTCTGTTTATGATTCTGAAACATTATTCATTATCTTTCTTTTTATAAAACCTTTCATAACTATATTAATCATAAAAAACTTAAACGGTTTAATATTAAGTTTATCTACTTTTTGGTTCTTTTTGTAATGGCAATAGATTTCCTACTATTTGGATGAGCAATCTTCTTTGCCTTTAAGTATTCTTTCTTTATTGCAGTGGACTGCAAAGACAAACATGATTAAACAACTGAAATTTACTGGTAAGTAGAAGAAAATTTTTGAACTGAACACATTAAATAAATAATTTTAATAAAAACTGATTAACACTGACCATGATTGTAGTTTTATGTATTTACAACAGCTAACCTTTCATGACATACATCAAAAACGTGTGATCCTGGGGGCACATGAAATTTTAAAAGGATACTGGCGTCATCTGGTGTCACGCAAGACAATTTCAAGAAAACTTCTTTACCATTAAATACAAAGCGGTTGATGCAATCGAAGTTACGTCAATGCAATCAAAAAGTCAAAGTTTTATTTACCTTTTTTTTCACACCGATCTTCAATGATCTTACAATTAATTTATATTTAAACATTTGAATATCTGTTTCCTTTACTTTAAGTGAAACTAATCTGAACATTGCTTAAAGTACAAAAGAATTGAAATCACTAAATGAAAAAAATTAATACGATCAGCACAGAATTAGTTTTTCGTTTAAAGTATATATTACACCAAATCAATATTAGAAGATGAAATATAAATTTAAGAAAAATTACGTGGACCTTATTTTCAGATTATATTAGAAATAATATTGAATACGAATACTACGAACCGCTGACCTTACTAACGGAGCACATGGCTTACTTACTTAAAATAGAGTAACCGGATTTTTAACAATTCATTACGAGATTAATTTTAAACGGTCCAACTTAACACAAGGCTATTTTTTAGGTAAAATTTCAAGAAGTATGATAATACTTTTTCTAATTAAAAATTAAAATTAACTCATTTTATCAGTTTCGGAAATAAATATTTATATGCACAAATTGTTATCGTGAAAATTGAAAACAATTACAAGATTCAAAGTCCGTCTTTTATGAATGAATTCGAAATCAGGAAAGTGATAATTTGATCCCCTCGCTCTAATTTTACACGCTTGCATCGAAGTTCATTTCAAACAAAATCATTGACGGCAACGACAAAAATGATTGTATTGGAATAAAAAATAATTAGTATAAAAATATACTAAATTCTTATTTGCCATTCAAGGAAAACGAAAATCTGAAAGTATTTACTAGAAAATGTAAATAAAAAGGGTTACTGCTATTAAGAAACATAATAAAAAAACACCATTAATTAAATTACTGTTTATGCTTATTTAAATTAATTAATGTATTACCTTCCTTTAAAAAATGATAATAAATATCTGTATACTTCTATATAAAATGTTTTACTCGCAAAAGTGTTAAATGAGGGTCGTGACTCGTGATTAATTTATAAAACATTCTTGATTTCACAATATACCAGAGTAAATGTCACTTTAGTTGACCAAGAATAATATTTTGGATTCACTGAAAAGGATGAAGATAAATAGTTGTACTGACTGACCTTCATGAGAAGGGAGTATTATAATCAGTATTGGATTTCCAGGTTGGTGAGGTAGTTGATTTGGGCCACGAGAGTACCTGAAATAGTTATTATTTCCATGACTTGGAATTGTGCTGGCGTAATTAGAAATCTAAACCCCATACAAGGGGTTTTCTCTATTCTAGAAGAAAACATGTAAAGCATTACGATTTTCTATAATAAAATTCTAGAAGGAATATTTATTAATTTTTATTTGTTTAAAACAAAAATGCATTATGTCATAAAAGAATTTTTAATTTTTATTGTTAATTATTTCTTGCTTTACTTAATTCCAATTAACTATAATATTTGAAAATGAAGTCTGTGTAGTTTTTAAATGATTATTCTATTAATAGAATGTCATCTAAAAAAATGAAATGCTTTTTGTATTCTACAGAAGTATTTCATCATTTCTTAACCCATTTTTCATACTTAAAAACGTATAAAATGAGGCTGCAAAAAATATTTGCTTCTTATCATTTTCAAAACTTTCCGACATTGTTAACATAGTCCATTCTATATTTTTCGCCTGTTTATATATGTCACCATGATTAAGCGTCACGTTAACCTATTACGAATGTTTATGTTTGTATTGAGATTGTATTAATGAAGGATTTTGTAACGGAATTTTTCGCAATTTTATATAACATTTATTGAGAAAAAAAATCCTTTCTGAAAGCTGAAAATGAGGATTAAAACATTTTTTATAATTTTACTTTTATTAACATCACGAACCTGTGGAACAAGTTTCGGCAGAAAGAGGACTTCGAACTGTCGTAAAGATAATGAACAATTTTTAAGCAAAGTAGATCTTTGTGAGAACGACCAAAGTGCAACCTTGGATTATTATTATAATTACGACCCAACTGAATTTGGCATAGTACAGAAAATTCCGTATTTTAGTTCCTGTTCCCCTTGCAACACCATAGAAATTGATTTCTCGTCGGCTAGCATTAGATGTGGAATGTGTCTTGCAATTGCTGAAAAGGTTTATCCATTTTTATCTCGTTTGAACAAGTTTTAAAAATGCAATCTAACTTGTATGGAATGAAAAATTATATTAAATTATATTGAAATCTATAATGTAAGGTACTTCTGTATAATGGTAGATTGTTGCAAGAAAGATTGATGTATATTGATTTAAAATGTAAAATGCATAAATTGTAAGAATGATTTCAATATATTTTCAATATGTAACTATTTTACGAATTATTTTTCTGTTTGCTGTTAGATAAATCAAACTTTATTGGATGTCCATGAAATGATGTCACCAAGTGCATGTCTGGACGACACCGAAGTTGAGCTCTTCTTGAGAACCATTTGCGATCACGAATTTCAATAGTACGTTTATATAGTAAGCGCTCATACCAGTTCTAAGTAACAGTCAGTTCAATAATTAATTTAAAAAGAAAACATTGCACAGCTATCGTCTGCGAGAAGTTAACGGAAAGAAGTTCATTTGCGACGATTCGCCTGGTTCTATTTTGATTTCTACTTCAGCAGATGGACTTTGGGGAAAAGAGTAAGCAGCTATTTGAATTTAATAGAAATGTTTCCTTTCTCCTTAAATAACGAAATGTATTTTATAATTCGACACAGCTATCATTGTTCATTAATGAATTCAATTTTCAACAGACTGAGGGATCTATGTCATTATTATTTGGATGAAATTGGTGAGAATCAACTTTACGAACAATGGCAGAAATGGTGTAACGACGACGAAAACTCTCCTGACATCTCTAACGTTATGTGTCGGTAATAAGGACGAGATAATCAAACAAAAGGTACGATTCTGACTTTATCATTTTATAGAAGCGAAATGGGATTGCTGCGAGACTGCAGGAACATGGAGAATCTAGAGAAATATGAGCCTCCTTATAAGACATACAACACCAAAGTGAAAATTACTGCGACGTACGGCAAATATGGCAACCCCGAATGATACATTTCGCGTGAAAATGTGTAATCTGAAATGAGATCGTTTAGAAATCACATTGATATAAATGTTTGCTCATCTCTCACTTTATTTGTGTAATAGGTGTTTACTTTACAGTAAGAATTGCTAAATCACGGAACATTTTGTTACAGAATTATTACTTCTTCTAAATCTTCTACATATTCTGCATACTTGTTTATTGTAACTCCGAACCGGTTCCAATAATCTACGCTCAGTTGGACTTTGGTCCATTGGCTTCAGGCATGATAAACCTTTTTTAAACCATTTTACAAGGTAACTCAAGAATTACGCGTAAAAGATTTCAAGTGGTTCCAAAGTTCTCTCCTTTTACTGTCACGAGATCCAAAGCAGAGGCAATTTATCATGTTAAATCCAGTAAAAAACCGAGGATAATCGATCTATCCATTAGATATATCGATAAATCAAAAAAAGATCATTTCTCAGATCTTTAAGTAACGTCAATAGTGACTCTGCGATCAAATGTAATGTAGAAATGCAAGTCCCAAAATGATGGAAATTATCAAGATTTCTCTAATACCCGTTTACAGTCGTTGCAATTTTTTATGCTTGTCGTCTATATATATTACATACGCGAATGCACACAGAATTACCATAAGTTATTCATGAAAGGGAAAAATTGTACTATGACTCGATTTGTCATTCTTCTCGACACTGTTGCACTTCGTTCGCGGTAATTCGAGAAAGGTCGATTTATTCAAACTGTTCTCTTTACGGCGATTATAGAATCGTGATCCGATGCGGGAACAATCGATGATTCTACGTAAATGACCTGTCCCATCCTTGTTTCTCTTCCTAGGTCGTAAAATTCTAGGTAAAATTCGTAAATCGTGTGCATAAATGGAAGAAGAAGAATCCATAACGAAGCATTCGTTCGTTTTCTTTGAATCGAATTGCATCTCGTTAGTGTGATGCACGTGACTCAGCTTTTTACGATGCGAATGCAAGTGTAAATGGTGGAACTGCGAAAAAGAAGGTAACTGCGGCAAGTGGGGTAGATGGGGTAAGTGAGACAGATTCGGCATCAGATGACGCTGCCGCATCCCCCGTATTATAGTGTCCTTCATTTGACGTCTCTTGTTCCATATCCTCTCGGCGATCCAGATCGAAACCGCTGTCACGCCACCGGCGATCAAGATGAAGAAGGCAGAATAAACGTCAGCCAACCTGGCACTGTGGAAAGTGGTCGGCGATTTGCACTGCGGCATTTCCGGTAGCATTCGTTCCGTGATTCGATCCAAGACACCACGTTCTCGTATTCTCAAGATACTGAAAGTTAAGTCTCTTAATTTGTCTCTTAATTAAGTCTCTTCATTTGTTGCCTGTTGCCGAATTTTCTACGATGTTTCTACGATTATTAGATCTTCTTCAACTTTGCCAAACCAATTTTACTGTAATCTTTCAATTTCTCTTAACTAAATACTATTGTCTTTAGGAAACATTCGTCGAGTTTGAAAAAGTACAAAAAAAAGTTAGTAACGTGTGCTTGTAGTCCGTGAATATTACTTTTACTTGTACAATGAAACTACAAGCTGTAACAGAATTTAACGTATTACCGTAATTAACTCGAATGATATAACTTTCATTGAAAATCATTTCGTAGGTTAAAAAGTTTCGTTGTTAAGTGAATTAATGACTACGTAAAAACGAGGAACTTTTCGGTTATTTAATATCATTTACCTACTTTAAATTAATAATCTTTTTGTAGGGGCAGGAATTGGCCATCGGTAAAGCCACCATCGTGAAGGTTTGAGGAAGAGGTAATTCCTTCAAAGTGCATCGTTCTTGTATTAACGTTGTTCTGAGCGCACGTCGCGCGAGACTGGCGCTCACGAAGAAACCGTATTGGCCCTGTACTGCTTTCATTAGACCGGAAGTGATGTCTAATCCAGACTCTCGATTGTCGAAGGCTCTTATGTAAAGCTCGCGAAGATTGCTATCGTTTACATTCTGAGAATAAACAAACAAAAGAAAAAACAAAACAGAAAAATCGTTCGACGTAAAAAATAAATTGTAAAAACGTTGTAAATTTTTATTTCTTCAATAGGAAGCTTACGCGAATATACTCGTCCTCGGTTATGCTGTACCCCAACTTAAAGTTGTGTGACAAAAGATCGGTGATCGACTTAATGCCACTCGCTTGAACCGATAATATAGAGGTAATAAAGCCAGCGTAAGCATTGTACATTACCAAAGCGAAGATCAGACTAAACAACAAAACAGTTTTGCCTGACGGATTGCGAGGAGTCCACGGAGAACCTGCACTTACAATAGTTATATAGTTTAATAGTAATTATAACTTCAATTATTAACGAAATATAATGTGCTTCATTAAGAATTTATAAAATCTTCAGTAATCATTTATTATGTATCAATTAATAATTCAATTGATATTCATTAAAATCGTAATAATATCTAGCGTTTATATTTTAGCACAGTAATTGAATAATAGAACAATCCATAAATATTCTTATCTTTATTAAGAACCTTGCATGCACATTATGCTAATGCACCAGAGAGCAGCTTCTCCAATACCAACGCGTTTTTCCTCCTCGTAATGGAGAACAGTTTTCGCGGCATAGATAATCAGTCCCATCGCGAATAAAATGGCGACATACGTAGAAGCTACGCATCCCAGTAGACAGTTGTCAAACGGTTGGCGAAATATGTCTCTCATGGTTCCACTCTCCAATGGATGATAATAAATATTCCTCCTGTTCAGACATAATATTTTGCATACAGAGCGTTCTGTATTGTGCAAAAAATTCTTATTACATCTTTCCCTATTCATTAAACCGATCATAACAGTTATTAGACACGTAATGACTTATGAGACTTGTCACAAGTTGTCTTTTGACCTACTGTCATTCAACTATTTCAGTGACATCCACGAACATTGCGAACACGTTGTTCAGTTGTTTAACAGTCAGATAAATCGTTTCAAAATGAAAAATTAGTATTGTTTACATATAGCGAATCAGAGGATGGCTGAACGTCATCTCCGCTTGTCGTTCTTCGTTAACGGTTATGTATCCTAGCCCTATATCAACAACTCCGGTAACGACATCGCCAAGAAGATTGCCCCAAACTTTGTTGTTGAGAGTTCCTAGTTTATCGTGGGACACTAATTCTATGCTACAAAGACATTTGTGATTAGTATAACTTTTTAACGTTATAATTTATAATAAATCAAAACGGAAAATCATATTGTTTCAAAATCATAGTAAATACTATTCAATGATTTCAAAATAAATCGTTTAAATTCTCTTTATCGTACTCCATTAGATGTTTACCTTGCGTTAACGCTGCTCGTGACGAAGCTCGCGAAGTCAAGAAGCGGCAAGATATCGTTCGCTTCCAATTGATCAGTAACATCCATCTGGCCATCGATTGTTCCATTCAACACCCCGAAGACAATCGGCATCCCTTTGAAGTCGTTTCTAAGCTTGACGCTTGTCGGGTTTTGCAACGACCAAGAATGCGGGTTCCAGGAACCAAGAAAATTTGTCATCAGACTGGTGTTGTCCGAATGCCGGATTTTGTATACATGGACAAAGTAGAAGACCACCGTTCGGTTCTCCAAGATGGCGTAGTTCAAATTTATCGACGCGTTTTCGACAGGTTGTTTCACAGGAGGCTCTCGATATTGAAAGTGACTCTCATAGCTTCGTAAACAGCAATGTGACCTTAAAAATGTAACGTAGAATCTCTAAATAAACGATTTTCATTCTGTATTTATAAGATTTTAATGATTTAAAGAGAAAGTTTCAGTTTTGTCCTTCAATATTTAATTTTGATTCGTTTATTCTTCTATCCAAAGTCTTCCTCAACTATACGTCACAACCAATAGGTTACTCCGATTACAAATTATTGTAATTATTTATAAATGTATAAAATTGATATCCTATAAAGTGATCTATAAACGTATAAACGTATAAACGTATTCTAAGTAATTAATCGCACTTTTTATTCGAATCGATGTTTCACTCCATGCAGTGATCGATAATGATTAAACATAGCATGTGTCAAATTTATTTTGGCAGACATGATCACCTGTTCGAATACGTTTGTGATAATTTGTGAATCGCAGAATACGATAAAGATGATGTAGCAATGACCACGTCGCTGTCGATGCCAATATTCAAATGCCGGAGTACTGAATCTATAGTTGCGTCGGTGTTTCTTGTTGTTATCATTAGCCAGGAGATGTAATAGTTGAACAGAAATTTCTGAGAGGCCTGCGATAGAACATGATAAATATTATTAATTTATGTCGCATTAACTGCAATTGATATGCTGATATTTGAAATTTCCATTATATTTTCCATTTCATTAGTTTTAATTGCATCAATTACTGTATCAAGATTTATAACCGTGCAATTTACTTATCGCTCGTAAAATCACTTTTGCTTGATAAATATCGCACATATTACAGCACTTAAGTGTTACGGTGTAATCGTAGCAAAACAGCCGCCATATGTAAATGAAGGCAACTGTCCGTGATATTGAACATGAGAGTTCTTTATACGTGTTCTTCTTAGCATATGTTTATTACCACGTGTAAAACATTCTCAGGAGAGGTGAGATTGAGACTATCCAATAAGACAATGGATCCGATTCGATGTTTCCGAATAATAAGGGCGTCTGGTATATTTGGATTGATGGCTGACTGAATTGACACGCTGATACCTGTTTCAGCGAGGCACGCAAACAAAGGTCTTGCGTAGGCGAATACACAATCTAAGGAAATAAGAAGCAAATTCAGTTCACAGGCTTTGGAAAATATTTCTTGCGTGATTCATCGTGCATATTTCACTACACAACCAAGGTATAACGTGACAATGCATAAATGCAATTTCGCACTAGAGAACGATGTATACATCCTAAGCTACGCATCACGTTACTTAATATTAATGACACTAAGTCAAGGATCTTCCTTTGTCTTCTGATTATTTTCATTTTCATCAGAAATGTGACTTTGGGACTAATGACATTCCCAGACTTTGAATGCGCTGTTTTATTTCGAGATTAATTAATTAACGACCGACTTTCAGTTGGCGCATTGAATAAAGAAAAATGGAAATGGGGTACGAATTCCTGCTTATATATCAAAACGATTTCAATTTAATAATACACATCCACGAAAAATTACAAAGAAAATCCATAAATTTAAATATTCTGAACATGGGCGTCCATTGATTATTAATTAAATTCACAATGATGTTTAGTGTCACAGGAGATCTCTCAACACCTTGCATGTGGGCTACTTTGTTGATTCGCCGCGGACAATGTGTAACAATTTGACTGATTTCGGAAAATATTACTAATGGCTGCTCTAATTGGCAATATAATGTACTATTCATTTGATATTTTTTAATAACTCACTTACATCACGTACTCAAGTACATCGTTTCTTACCATAAATATAATATTTGATCGTTTACAAGATAGGCAAAAAGAATAGAAAATAAAATGATGCAGCCAATCGTTTTATAATTTTAGTTTTATAATTTTCTTTCGAAAATTTATATAACATTGAATATATGAATGCACAAGCTCATTTCCCTATTCATGCTTTTATTTCTAACAATACAGGTTGAGCAAATGCAAATATTCATTAATATAACATTTACAATTCTTACCTAAGGAGCTTAGATTGTCGAATAGTACTATTTGATTCCATGATCTTAACTTCGAGAATTCCAGTATCAGTTGTAAAGTTAAAGGTGATGGTAAAATACAAGTGCTCGTCACCACGGAGAATGTGGTCATTACAAGAAAGATGATTTTCATTTTTCTACTGAAAAATGTCAGGTATAGAAAACTCAATTTTCTATATTTAATTAAAATTCTTCAAGTAATTGGAGAAATACTACTTTAAGTAATATTTCTTTATTATAACGGAAATAGGAAATAGTTTGTTCTACTTGTGTTGACATCAACCGTTCTTAATGAAAACGGCTTCGTTCAACGAAAGATTTTAACAAAATCACAGAAAAAGCACGAGTACCGTATAAACATCCTACAAGGAGCATTGCAATACTTTGAATCAACCTCTCGAATGTCAGTCAGTAGTAACCGGAAACGCAATCCGTTCCAGTTCTTCACTGATGCCCGCACGAAACACGAAACGCCTTAGACAGCGATCGAATATAGACTGATGACCATCTCGTAGGGCTTTTCCGATTCGTTCTTGCTTCAACGCATGCGAAAGAAATTGCTTTCCAGATAGAGATCGTAGAACATCCTTTTTTCCAATTCCCTTGAGTGAATTAAGTACTGCATACAATGTCAGACCTCGCTAATGACCGACCAATTTCCCTTAAGAGACATAACGGCTATTTTCTGATAAATGGCGAATTTCAATTCATTGCGATATCGCTGATAGATACTTTTCTGGGAGAAAGAGTGTCGAAAATCGTGCTAGTAGATTATGTGTCCATTTAAAGGAAACCGTGATTCAGAACATACAATGTTCAGCGTTGAGTTTGAAAATATTTTGTAAAGTTTCATTCGTGTATAATGTGTTTTAGAGTGTTAACCAGCAGTACCGTTTGAATGGGGATAATTCCGTCTTTAGATTATTGAGAAGGGAACATACAATGAAATGTTTGAATTAAGTTTGAAAAGTCAAAAGCTCGTGCATTTGGCAGATTGTAGACAGAAAATGTTGAACTCCATTATTTCCTTTGTCTATGTGCCATCTGTATTTAATCAAAACAGAACGATATAAATGCATATCAGTTGGACAAGTAATCGCGTATAATTTTCTTGACAATGAGATCTGACATGGAACAAACTTATTTCATATTTTCAATCAACTTTTTCATGTAAAATGAGACCTCTATTAAACTGTTAGTTAACGGACATGCTGCGTAATTTTTATGAACTGTGAAGTGGTGTTGCGTTACTTGTTAAGAAAAATTGACACACCGATTGTATTGACATTTGTACATAATACCTGTAAATGAGGACAATGGTGTGTCGATAGTAGTGCTTACTTCGTGATGACAGAAAATCGATAGAATTGATGCAATCGATACGAAAAGAATCGTTGTTACTTGTGGAAGTTTGCGCTGAGAGTTCAACTACAACTGATACTAATATTTTATTAGTCTTGAATTATAGAAGTATTGACTAATTTATGAAATTATTTCGGATAACAAAAATTCATTCATGTTTCATTTTTACTCATAAATAAGAAAATTCTCAGTGATCGTTTTGGTCATTAGATAGTAAACGTCGACTGAATGTAAGTACATAATAAAATTCTTATGATCCGAATGCACTAAACTTTGTTTATTGAATGCTTCTTTATCATTTTTGTAGACAGATTATATATGTCTGACATTTTATGTACCAAATGAGATACTTCAAAAAAGGCATTATCACGTTAATCCTCAGACTGATTTAACACCTACCTTTAGATCAAATTACATATGTAAATCATCCGTTCGGTTTTATTCGATTACAATTATGTATCTGTATATCACATTTTATCTTATTGGTGCAATGATACGAACTGAAAAATTGGACTTTGTATTTTAAATTCAATATGATACAGTAAGATGGAATGATGTGCAATATATCATCAGAGATAATCTTTAAATCAATTCACAGAATAGATTTTTTGATAAAAATAGAGATACACAAGAATAAAAATGCATGGAATGCCAGAGGCGAGAATGCTGATACAATACACAATACAAATCTTATAAACATAATATTGAGTCACATGTATTATAGCTTTCGGAAAAATAATTTTTATTGTTAGATATTTAATTAATTTCATTGCTTCATGATATTTATGAATAAATATACGTAATATCATTGATGTTATACGTAGAAAATGTATTAATAGCGGAACTACTCCTGCGACTGCATGGCCGACTGAAGGTAAAGGAGGATACCTATGGAAACAATTGAATAATCTTATAAAAAATGGGAATATACCCAAATCGCAAAAAATAGTACCCTCAAATAATTCGTAAGTAAAGGTACTGATCATCTTACTCGGAAGTATGCCCCTTCCAAGAATAAAAAATCATTGAAACAATATGCATATGCAATATGCATAAACATTCTTGTTATTTGACTTGGAAGAAAGGAAAGGTGTCACGCGATTAATAAGACTAATCGCCTTTGAGAAGAAGGAAGTAAAATATTGATAAATGATATAAATTTCAGAAATACATTTTATACAGTCTTACCATTCATATTACAAAATAAAGAGTAAAAAAAAAGGTTACAACAAAACGTCAATTCATCGTCAAATAAAAATCCTACAAATTCAGCTGAGAATTACAAAATTCTGTTATCTTGGAAGCACCATTTCAAAACTGCGCAGTAAAACATTATTCCTCCTACATTGCCGTTCACGATAAAAAACGATTTATCGAACACATTATTTTCAATAATAAAAGAATAAAATAACAAGAAATCTATGTTTCACCCTTCCTCGTATGAGATCATACCGATAAAATAATACTAAAAAGTGAATTTCAATCAACATCTATCGAAATCTACATTTTCCTTTCATTTACTCTCTAATTAAGATACCCAATAAAAGATACAGGTTTCCTTGAAATTTCATGTTCCCGATTATACGCCGTCTAGCCACCTCAAAACAATAATGCGCGTATCTGACACGTTGGAACGGCGTGAAAAAAAAACCGAGGACGGGAGAACCGCTCCGAGCGCTACGACGCGTTTCCTTCGCTGAAGATCACGTAGGCCTCTATCTATGGCGGGTCATCGCAGGATCAAATTAGACGCCGTGTCGTGGCGCCACCGGTGTTTCCGCCGGCGTCGAAGCGCGCCGCCGCGACGACTCCTGTTTGTCGGCACTAGTATTTAGCTCTAGCCGCGTGGTGCCGGCATTTCAGTCTTGGTCGGCTGTCAGCTCATCGCATCGCTCGATTCTCAACGGGAGGGGTTAATTCCGCTGAAAGACACCAGTACCCAGAGCAAGAAACACGTTGTTTCACCGTTGATTCGTTACTGCGCGGTTTTCTCCAGTGGTTGGTTGCATTTTGTGCGCGGCATTAACAGCGGTGGTACGCGTCCAATAAAGGTTAACCGGCAGGGGTTGACGAGGGTGAGAACAGAAGAGGTAAGCATTTTTTTTTTGTTTTCACACCCCACGGTACTCGGGACGTAGTATTCGCGAGCAGTCACCCGTCGACTGTTCGAGGAGTCCTTTGAAAAAGAATAGGAACCCGTGGCAACCGAAAGGAGACGATATTCGTGTAAATTTACCTTAGCCATGCGTTGAACGCGATCCAAGTATTCGTGGATTTTTTAATTCGTCCGTATCTGATTTTTCTGGCAGCAAGTCAGCTGGGAACGGTTTGTTCGTAGTTCAATGTCGCTTCTATTTTTCGTCACGTAGCGACACATCTGCGCCGCGTGGTCGAGTCTGCGGACAACTAGGTTTAGGGTCGCCGTGTACCGTACAATATTGTTATGTCGATCAAATTCGTGGGCAGGAACGATCGTGCAATTGGCAATGTCGTTTCGGGACGGAGATTATACTTTCTCGCATTTCGTTTTCGATCTTGTTGTATATGTTCGTGAATACAAGAGGAATATTTTTTTCTGTCGGCGACGAGGACACGTTTAAGGTGAGTCGCCTCGTTGCTCGAGGCTCGTTTTCGATTGACACGTGCGTACTTTGGTTAATATCGGTTACATAAACTGCAATGAAGGAAGGGAAAATCTATACAGATAAATGGGGAAAGGAAGAGAATAGTTGTTCCGCGTGTTCGTTAAATGATATAACTTAAGAAAATTCAACGTCCGCAAGCAAAACGTAATTTGTCGTGTGCACGGTACTAACGAGCAGTTACGTGCTGGATCAGCCGGTGTCCGCTGACGCTCGGCGCGCACGTTGGTCCCTCTTCATTTGCGTGACGATAACAAAATTTGCGATGACCAGCAAAATTAGTCAAGTTTTCTATCGGCCGTTCCTTCTTTATTTATAGACCTTACCTATTGTCCCGGTCGTGTTACAATTATAACGTCCTTCGCCTAATTCGCTATGCGTACATTTTTGGTCGTAACGGGAGCAACTTTATTCGGAACAACAAATAATTAAAAATATCAAATTATACATCTGCTACTGAATTTTCGATGCGCGACTGCGAATTCCGTTTATTTTATTTGTATAAGATGACAATTTTGTAATATTGTTTTAGAGATATTTTTGAAAATTGTATTTTATTCATTTCGTTGAAGTTGTATCTGAAACAGAATATGTGGTAGTGAAAATTTGTAGTTTTAACTTTTGGATGGAGCGGTGCCTAGAATCATTCAAATTCTTGGTTATCAGATTTCATAAATATTTGTTTAAGCGCACTTCTTATTAAATCGAATATAATCATCTGATAACTGAAGATAACTATAAGAACATTTCAATGAAGATTGATCTAGGTGGCATCGTCCAGAGGTTAAATGCTAGAGGTTAGTGCTATCTGGAATTATTTGGGAAACTATTCTTAAACATTGTATTTAACTATCAAACGAAGTAGAAAATTACTATACAGGAAGGTAGGTAGCGAAGCAGTTGGATTTTCTATACTAACAATCATATTCGAGTAATTTTACGTACCGGTATTTATAAACCAATAAACATTTTCCATAGCCATCGATTTACTCAAATCGAAGTAAATTTCGGATTTACTCGAAACGGAGGAAACCTAATTACCTTTTACGCATTATAATAAGCTAAACGAAATTTAATGTGCCTCTTATTTCATTAAAATTCCATTAGACTACATACGAAACATTTACGTGTACAAAATCAAAAATCGATAATGTAAAATCTAAAACAGTAAGCATTAATTTGCTGAGAAACGTTCTGGAACATCGTTGAAGCTTGCCGACAAAAGGCAAAGCGGAACGTATGTGAATTCGGTCTAGCATTTCACAGTGTCGCACCTGTTGATTTATTTGAAAACATTTCTGCGACCGTTTGTCGTTGATAGAGATAGAAATTTAATCGTTAGTTCTCAGCAAGTCAATTTTCAACGCGTTTCCACGTCGGAGATTCTCTACTACTCATTACGATACACCGTTACTGCATCGCGATTACTGTTACACCATCTAGATTGAGAGAAATTGACCAACGCATCGCTCAAATCACGAACACCACTCTAGAACAGCTTCGCTGCTGTGATACTGCGTATCCGATGCACAACAGGCTATCAGTTGACGAAGAATTAAGCTCTATACTCGTCACCTGCTAAAGTAAATTATCCCTAGTTATCACGTCAACGTCGTTGAAATATGAAAACCGAATTGAAAGTGCTTTGTCTCTATAAACACAAGTTCTATGAACGACCAATACGACCATGGGGACTAGACACAATTTTCTTATTGATCTGGGTGCTCCCTTCTTTAATGCGTTTACGCTTTTTGCGTATCTCCGTATACGTGCGCAATTCCGAGTAAACAACGATTTTACCATTCTTTTCTTTTATCAAAGGTACAGCTGAATATAATGGAATTTTGTATTGGACAATATATTTTTAAACTTGTTTATGTAGCCCTGTGTTGTCTTAGTCACAAGGTAAATGTTATTGAAGTTCGGTTAGAATGTGATACGTGATTCGTCTTACTCACTTAATACTGGACCTTTTGACACTCATTCCTTGCGATTTTTACGGACTTCCTTAACACGTTCGCTACCAGCGTTTGTTTCGGTGGCGATCCTCTGAATTATAATATTTTATTCAATTCAATAAATCTTCTAAACGAACTACCGAAACAAATGAAGCTAAAACGAGTCATTGAATCCCTAAATGTAATTTCGTAGCTTATAACTTTAACTAACTATATCTATAGGATAAATTTCATTTTCTTTATATAAAATATAGAACTGCGACCGTCACAAATATGTGCCGCTGTTAGCGAACGTGTTAAATGGATAGAATTTGGATCTCGTCGACACATTTACTTACGAGAAACTAAAAAAGTTTTGAACGCATAAAATTTTTAAATTACCCGAACGACGGAAAAAGATAAAACACCTCTAAATCGAACTTACAATATTCGTTGTTCCCAAATCACCTGTGCACAGATTTAAAGGAATTTCGTAACATCGTTCTACATTAATAACAATAAAAAACATTCACCGAATAATGTTAAATGGTAAAACTGCGCGTATAATGGGGTCGGTAAAAAAAGGTGCACTTGTAAAAAGAGAATCATAAATTTTCGTGCTGATTAGTAACTGTTCTCATTTGCAACGGTTACCAGGTATTACCAGCTGGTAAATATGTGTATATGATAGTTGTGCATCTTGATACATTGAACGTTTTCGGAGATCGACACAAATCTCACGATGTTCGACTAATTCGCAATGCGTCATTTGCAAGTTCTGCCGCGGCACGATATGAGGGTGTAATAGCACACCGGAAATGTCGATTCAATTAAGGTCGATTACTGGCACCGGATCTATCCAGCCTCGCTGAGCAATGTGTCGTTCGAGGGAAAATATGTTTTGCGCATAGAAAATTGATATAAAAATTATTTGAAAAAATTCCCTCGTCAGGTAAATATACTCAATTTTCCGCAATAGTGTACCTGGATACATGAAATCACGAATTCCTCGGTGAAACACGTTGAAATTTGCAAGATAGAATAGAAATTAATCTTTTTAATTGCACCGCAAAATCGGGTCTAGAATCGTACAAACATATTTGTTTTATTTACTTACCAGAACACTGTATTCTAATCGAATGTATAGTTGCGTCAACTTTTAAGTTCGTTCCCCAAACGCACAAGATTCTTTACAATTCGATGTACCATGGTTTAGTGAAATGTAATTCTAAGTTCCCGCGATGACCTGATTAAGTCACGTCACTGGCACGGTTAGCTAACAACCACTTTCTCGATTGCCAAAACCTCTCCCCTCTCAAATAGTATTATCTAGCAGCGTATTTTTTCTTCGCCCGATCCTTACGGAAAATAGTGTTTCAAAGTGGTTTAACATGTCAACCTAGGAAGCGTATTACTATAAATTGACTAGTTAACGAGCGCTTCCTGAATATCATGACGATAACGCGCAAATATTTACGCACGCGTGAGTTAGCCTTGAACGGCAATACCGGGCAATGTTGTTCTTTTAAAAGCAGTACATTGCTCGAAAGTCAATTCATTTCGCTGGATGTTAACACATAGATTCGAAGTTTTCTAACGCATCACGAGTATTACTCCTCAATTTATATGTATCTGTTACAATTAATGACAAATGTTGTAAATTTATTAATTAAGTCAATCGATTGACAAATTGAAATCATTACTTTATCGAAACATTAAGTCGTGCACCAATATAGAAATAAAAAATGACTGCTATAATCGATAATCTAATCACACGAATCGTATATCCAGCATCATTGGTTGGTGATTCGCTTTGATTACTAATGTTTACGATCCGAACATAAGGGACTTTAATCTCGGAAGTGACCGTGGGATTTATTATTCCAACGATAGGATAACGAGAGGTAGCACGCTGGTACGAACATTTTATCGGATCGATTATTTTTGATCGATCGCGTGTTGTATCTTTCTTCTCCACTTTGTCATTAAAATTATACCAATATCCGATTAATTTTGAATCACCAGATACGTTCTGTTCGTCACAGCATAATCACGTGATAATGATGCCACTCGGTCTTGGTTCGTCTATATATGTACAAACGCATCGCGCGATATTCCGTCGACGATACCTTTCTCCTGCACTTTCGATCGAAAGTGCTTTCGCGTCTAGACGCCCCTTGCAGATCTTCTGCGACCAGTTTGTTACACCGCCTTACCGCACAAAGAAACTTAAATTCCTCGCTCTATATACACTCCGTTGTCCGTGAGTCCGCGGACATTTCCACGGGCGCAGGTGGAACAACAGCGGATTATACTCGTAAAATTTCATGAATGGCAATGTTAAAGAATATTTCATGAATTTCTCGCATTACCGTGCCAATCTAATTACCCGGTTTGAATAGATTTAAACGTTGACTAAACGGTAGTAAACGTTGATTATGTTTAATCTTAATCAAGATAAGTAGATTGTTCGCAGTGGATTGCGCAATTGATTCTCGATTCAATTTTGCT